AACCAACTCAAATATTTTTTTAATTTAAGGACTAAATCAAAATTTTATATAATAATTTATGGACAAAATTAAAGATTTAACCTTAAATTAATTGTCTCCGCGAGTGCTTCTGAATGTGCGCAGCACTTCGAGCTGAAATTGATTTAGTATTGTTTTTGAAAAAAATGCATAATCTATAATAGAAGAGATTCAAATTTTACATTAAATGTATTAAAAAAATTACATTAATATTAATTTATTTAATTTCAAATTTTAAATTCATACTACAATTAGTAGAAAAAAATAAAATAAAATATATTTTCTTAAAAAATAGAGAAATAGCCTCCGCTGAAAACCTAACAGAGACCCCTGTTTGAACTTCAGAGTCTCTCTTGGGGTGGTTAAATTAAAGCCGACCAAAAAATTTTGACCCCCACACAAACCTTTATTTTTTAATATAATTAATTATAATTTAAAAAAATATTAGTATGTAAATTAATTTTAATTTATTAAATAATAAAATATAAATATTTATTATTTATCAACTAACAACTATAATTATTAATTATTTTAACAATGAAATTAAATAAATATTAATATTTTTAAAAAATTAAAAATAAAAAATTTTGAGCATTCAAAGTTTCAAACGATGGGTAGCCATCATCAATATCATCCCCTCTCCCTTAGAAGACAAACTCTATTGGGACTGCTCTGATTAGACCCCAAATGCAAGCTAGTGTAGTACAACTAGAACTTGCACTTTCCTTCCAGCATGGTGACAGTTCTAGAATACTAGTATTACGCATTTCCTGTTGTTTACTCAATGGTGGCCACTGCTTTTTAAAAAAGACAGTTCACAAAATACGTTCTTGATTTATGTTCAATATCTTTTTAGAACAAATATTAACTTATTAATTTAATTATTTTTTTTGTCAAAAAAAAAAAAAAGAATACTAGTATTACTTCATACAGCTAGCCTTTTTTTTTATATATTGAGTTCTTTAATTTGTATTTTTAGTATATATGTTAATGATAGTTTTTAATAAATTTATATAAAAAATATAAAAATAAATATTAATATTAAAATTAATTTTACATAAATAAATTTAATTAAATAATTAATAAATTAAATATTATTTTTTATTTTTCTAAAATTTTTCACTATAATATTTTTTATATTAATTTTTTAATATTCAATAATCACATTAAATTTTAATTAATTTAAAATCCAATAATACTAAATCCTATAAAAAAAAAAAAAAAAAACTCTTTTAACACAAATTTTTCTATTCATAAAATTTAAATTCAAAATACCACCAACAAACAAGCGGCGAACTGCTTTACCATGACACTTAAGTCACAGGTAAAAAAAACTCTTTTTATTTTTGGTTTTTTGTTATTTTTTTCGCTCCTCTCTTTTTCTTCGGGTCGAACGCGCTTTGAATCAATCATTATTGCAACAGTCCACGTGTCATCACCTGGTGCCTCCCCCTGGACAATAGTGGACCCTATCTCCCAACCACCCTCCGAAGTCATCGGGCGACAACAGCTAAGCGAAACACCATAAAAAAACCCTCCCAACTGAGTTTGATCAACGGACACAAATTGTGGGTTATATTTGTGGACCCAAGAATCAGAGCCGTCCAAAAAAATCATTCACGTGCACCGTTGCCTTCTCCAAAAAGACGTGGGCCCGAACCATCAAAATCGAGCGGCAGAAATTGTGCGATAAAGATACCGTTTCCAAAGCAGCGTAACTTTTTTTCTCTGTTTTAAAAAGGTTGAGAGGAACAGAAATTTACAGAAGTTCTGGTCTCTTCTTGTCCTTTTTGCATGCACAGATTCAAGTACTCTTTATATTTGATTTTAATAAATTCTGTTGTAAAAA